TCAACAAATTTTACTATTCATTATTTTGTTCTTTACGTGTAACTGATCATAAAAAACAACATGACAATAAGAGTAGTTTTTCTTTGAGCCCTTTTTATTTTTCATTTAGTGAAAAAATCAAAGAGATAGATATATGCATTTAATTATTTTTTTAATTATGAAAATAAATTTATGTGTATAGGCAGATATAGTGTTGCGGGGATATTCAGGTTGGAATTCAAGACGTGCTTTGGAAGTTCTTGATGAAGTTTTCCCAAAGGTACCTAATAGATTCAATTGGTATCTTAAAGGATATTCCATTAGATTCTTTTCAATGTTCCAACAATTGATTTCTTTTTTGATATTATACTATTATTCTCTTAAATATTTAATAAATTTCTTCTATCATAAATATTAAAGTTATATTTCTTTTATTTGACCAATGGAGGCTAAACGTCATAACGGAATCAACTACTTGAAATGTTCTAACTACCTTAAACATAGCCCAATAATTAAATAGAGGAATCTTGCAAATAGTATAATTTATTGAATTACAAACAAAAAATGGGCATATTTTAATATGTTTGATTGTTTAGATTTTGACTTACCTATAAACATTATGATGAGTAATTTTTTTTAATGAGTAAAAAAAAAAGAATTTTATTTAGGGTGAATCAGAAACATGAAATTACCTTTAAAAAATACATTACATTATCTTAAGTAGAATTTAAATTATATTATTTGTTGTTTCAAGTAATCTCTTACTACTAAATCATGAGAGTGACATATAATTATAGTGATAGATTTAAGGTTTAGGTCTTATCCTTTCTTAAGAAGTTGTGGATAAAGCAGGAATCATCATTCTATATAAATTTTTAGAAAATCAAATTAAATTATATAAATTTCTAGAAAATCAAATTAAATGATAAGAATAATCTTTATTTATAAATACATATTTAAATTATATATTGTCTTATACGATTATGTAATATATTTTTTCATGTTCAAAAATTTGATAAGAAATTGTATAATATATAACTAGACTTTAATATCATGATAGATTTAAAGTTTTTAACTTAATTCTTAATAGTTTTTTAAGAGCGTGAAGTAAATTAAATGGGTAAACTAAGATATTTTTTGTGGGTTCAAAGTGTTTTGTAGGATTTAAAAATTTTATAGTTGATTTGAGTAATTTTTAGTTTAATAATGATTGTCTATAAGAAACCAAAACTACATCCCACATTTACAATTTTTTATTCAAGTTACCATTAATTTTAATTATTTTAATGCCTTTGGAATATTTTATTAATATTAAATAATATTATAATATGTTTCATATTGAATAGTTAACGTTAATTATATAGACGATGGACACTAAACTTTAGTTCATTAGATGTCATGTCAGCTCTACTATAATGCAAATTTTTTATTATTCACGTAAGCTATACAAAATTTTCGTTTAACAACTCTGCGTTAAAGTTTCTCTAAAGTGAGGAATATGATTACATATAAAATTTTAATTAATGTGAGTTTGAGTGTTTATATATACATATATAGTGATTTTTTTTGTTTGTTGTAATCTTTAATTAATTTAATTAGGATGCTTATGTGCAACCATCATTGGTAATTATCTATTTTGGTGGAAATGATTCTATTCACCCTCACCCATCTGGTCTTGGTCCTCATGTCCCTCTTGAAGAATACGTTGAAAACATGAGGAAAATTGCTAACTATCTTAAGGTAAACCATTGTTCTATACTCAAAAAATAATGAACCTAATATTTTGTTTGTTCAAAATTTGATACAAATAATATACAACAACTTTCAGAGCCTCTCAGATCATATCCGCCTCATATTTCTCACATCCCCTCCCATCAGTGAAGTACAAATCAGGAAAAAACTCAGGTAATTTCTATATGTTTTAGGGTTTAGGGTTTGTGCAAAATATATAAATTCCGATGAAACTAATGCTTGAGTGAATCCAGTGCAACACAGTCTGGAAGAACCAATGAACATTGTGGAATATATGCAAAGGCATTGGTGGAGCTATGTGATGAAATGAACTTAAAAGTCATTAATCTTTGGTCTGCAATCCAGCAAAGGGAGGACTGGTTAGATGTTTGCTTTACGTGAGTAAATACATTTCTTAAAAATCCACTTTACTATCAGAACCGTTTTTAAAGACGTGTAAAGCCAGATACTGCACTGAACTTCAAATTTATCGAAGTTTAATAATAATTAAATAGGATATTAAGCTATTTATAAAAAGGCTCCAATTTTTAATTTCTATAATTTTTTTGTTAGGGATGGAGTGCATTTATCAGGTGAGGGAAGCCAGGTAGTTTTGAAGGAAATATTAAGGGTTCTTAGAGAAGCAGATTGGAAACCTAGTTTGCATTGGATGTCACTACCAACTGAATTTGCTGAAGATTCACCATACTATCCTCCAAGTCCAGACGGAACCACCACTATAAATGTCTCCTACAGTATTCCACGAAGGCATTTGCAATGGGATCTATAGAAATTATATTTAAAAATTATCATGTGTGGTGTGGTTTGATTCATTCAAGCAATGATTGGAAAGAAGATTTGCAATTTATTTATTAAGAATCATATAGAATTTCAATTGTGTGGAGCCCATGGGAAAGGTTGTTGTTTTTCATGTGTTTATAAATAATAAAGGGTAGAGTTCTTTCAACTGGTGAAAGTCCCTACTCTTTGGAGCATTTTTATTTTGATTTGTTTGTTGTAAATTTTCTGTATTATTAATTAATAAATTTAAAGTCACTTATCATATAAACTCTATCTATTTTTGGGTTATATAATCACATCTTCATATAAACTCTATCATTATCTTATCTGGATTGCTGTACTGAGTGGATAAGGATTCACAAAATTAAGTATAATCTATTTATACACATTGTTTAAACTTACTCATACTTTTTTTCTTCTCAAATCAATTTTGATAGTTTTTTAACTTTTGATACTTCCGTTTTAAAAATCAATTTTTTAGTGACTATAGTTATTTATTATTTGATTATTTTTAATTAATTAATTAATAATTTTAATTAATTTTTCATTTGAAAAATAATTTTAGAAAAATATGTTTTACATAATAAATTAATAATTTTTAATTAAGAATTATAATTAATTTTTTTGAAATTAAAATGTAAAAATTAACAATTATAATTATATTTAGGTTTCTTCATCTTCTTCCTCTTATTCAACTTTTTTTTTTCATTAAACATCATAAAAATTCCAAAAAAAAAAATCTAGAAAAACATCAACAACACTATAATGTTTATAAAATTACAAAAACAAAAAACTTCAACAAAGACTACAATATTTATTTGGTATAATAATCAATCAAAGAAGTGTCCACAAAAGGATTCATCTCCAACCATTAACCTCACAAAAAATATTCATTCACAGGGACCCTATTAAAGTTACACATAAAAAGAAGGTCCACATGCAGTGCATATTTAGATTTGTTGTTGTTTCATAGATCAAAATGAATAGAAGATGAAAGAAATTATTCGAAAACAAGGTTCTCTATTTTGAAATCTTTTTTGATTTTTTTTTTAAAATAACCATATATTATATTGTATTTACCATTTAAACAAAAATTCAAAAAAAAAAATACAAAAGTGGCTAACATTTCAACATGCAGTCGCTGGATGAAATGGCGACTCAGTTTATAGTTCATTGTTATCGCCAATCCAAATGACGATTCTGCTGGTTTTGTAAAATTGTCGCCATTCCAAATGACAACTCAGTGCAATACTAGGGTTTCGTTTTAATAAATTTAAGAAATTTAGTTTTATTAATTTAGGTTTACTTAAATTAGTTGAATAAATTTAGGTTTAATTAACCTAGGTTTACTTAAATTAGTTGAATAAATATAGGTTTAATTAAAAATAATTTTAAAATAGTTTAATAAATTTAGGTTTAATTAAAAATAAAGTTAAATTGATTTTATAAATTTAGGTTTACTAAATATTATTTTTATACGTTTAGGTTTAATATAAATATAATTGTGATTATAATTTGTTATTTTTAAGCAACATTTATAAAATAAGTAATAATTATTATTTTTAAATTATAATTTTTTTAAAATTTTAATTATAAAGTAATTTAAATACAAAATATAAATTGATTAACAATTTAATTTTAAAGCATATAAATTGATTTAAATTATAAAATTCAAAAAATTAAAATTGATTAACCAATGATTTATAAAGTGTATAAATTTTGTAAGGGTATTTAAGACATATTATGTGGGGCACATACTATTTTATTTTTTTATAAATACGACTGCAAACACATACGTTTTCACAACATTGTATACCAAAATACCACGTTACTGCATTTTGAGTGGAGTGGAATCTAGAATGTCTGTATTTCTAAACCAACGTTATTCGTCGTCGTCGTCATCAGCATCGGAAGAACCATGGCCAACCTTCGATCTAATGAAAAGAAATGCCCTAGTTGTGTTTTCGCAAACAAAGCCTCCAATGAAGGTGCTTCTCTAGAATACGCAGACGTTGGAACACTTGCACAGGGAACTGAACCGCTGGCTAGAAGGAGATATTGGTCCGGGAGAAAAGATTAGGAAAATTGAGAGGTTGGTAGAAAAGACAGGGAGAGACGGAGTTACTCGTGAATGGAGAAAAGTGGAAAATGATGTCGGTGTCCTTGTTATGATGTTAACACCAAAGGAGATAAAGTTGATGGTCGTGATATCGTAGACGGCTTAGTATAGTGTTTTGTTTTATGTATTTACGTTGTTGTTGTGTTTGTTTAATTTATGTTGCCTTGGTGTAATGTCCTGTCTTTATGTTGTTGTTATGTCAGTTAAGTCTGTTTTTCCTTGGAATGAAATTTGCTATTAATCTAATCAAATTTTCTATTAATCGAATCAAATTTGCTATTAATCGAATGAAATTTGCTATTGATCTTAAGGGACAAGATTACATATGAAACTATGATCTGCTACTTGATCCTATGTTAGGACATTTTGTACGATTGTGTCCTGGTTGTCGACACGAACTACACAATCTCACCAGCTTGTCTGCGGTATCCATCTTCGTTCGAATGCGCGTGCTATTAGGCCGGCCCTTTTTCTTTCTGCGCATCAAGTCATTATGCCAAACAATTTCGCCTTCGTATTGAGGCCAATAGTCCTCCTTTGCCACCACCTGAAAGCTGCATGTGTAGACATTTCACAGACTTATCACTTGGTGAACTGCAGACAGAAGGTTGGTTGGGCCCTGGCGCGCCTTCGAACATGCTGCTATAACATGAGAGCAAGGCATACGGAATGCTTGAAACTTACCACAATCACACCAGCTCTTATCCAATTCAACACGGTAACATCCCATCAGCCTTCCTTTGTTGTGATCAATAGACTCGGCAACACTGAACCAACCAGCTCTACGGTCAAAGATTGTGACCACGTGTGTGTTGGCTTTGCCAGCTTCCTCTTTCATGAATTTCATTGAAGTATCACTGTACAGCTGACCCGATTGTAATACTAAACCCCACTTTGTACGTCTGCTATCAAAGAGTGACCCTAGCCTAAAATAGATTGCCTTTACCAAGGCAGTTATCGGGAGGTTTCGGATTCCCTTGAAAACAGAATTCATTGATTCGACGAGGTTAGTTGTCATGTGGCCCCATCGCACCCCATTGTCGTATGCCCTAGTCCATTTATCCCTATCAATGTTATCAATCCATGTTAATGCATTCGCGTTTGTTAGTTTGATCTCGTCATGATAGTATTTGAATGTGGGTTCTGTTAGTGCATATCCCGCGTTCACAACCTTCTTCCGTAGCGTCTTGTCTTTGATCTCCCACATGAAATTTTGGGCGATATGCCTTATGCAATAGACATGGATCGAGGGAGGATCCTGCCAACCGTTCTCAAGATTGTTGTATGCACTCTCGATTGATGGGTGTCGATCAGAGATCAAACATAAGTTAGGTTGGGGAGATACGTAAGAGTGAAGATTTTTTAAGAAAAAACTCCAACCCCCAGCAGTATCCCCTTCCACTATGGCGAAGGCTATTGGAAAAATGTTGTTGTTCCCGTCCTGTGCCACAGCCATGAGCAGTGCGCCCTTATATTTCCCGTGTAACCATGTTCCGTCAATTTGAATTATAGGTTTACAGTATGCAAACCCTTTGATGCATGGTTCAAAAGCCCAAAAGACTCTGTGAAAAATTCCATATCCAGCAACGCAAGTCTCATCTGGTGTACACGCAGGCATTATCTCCAGTATCACAACAATTCTTGGAGAGTAGTGTTTTAGAGCCACCAGGAATTTAGGAAGTTCCTTATACGACTCCTCCCAATTCCCAAACACCCGTTCAACCGCTTTAGTCCTAGCAATCCAGGCTTTTCGGTATGAAAGATTGTAATTGTATCGTTGAACCATATGTGCAATTATGGTACTCACCTTCAAAGAAGGGTTGTCGCTAACGATAGACAGAATGTCATCGCAAATCAATTGAGAGCTCAGTTTGCGATGGTCTTGCATTGGATTCGAGATTATACAAGTATGGGCAGGACCCATTGACCCTATCTTCTAGGAATCGCTTCTCTTCCTGAAAGACGTTGTTAATCCAAACTGGCACTCCTCGTTACGACAATGGATCGTATACCGCATTGGATTTGTTTGATCGACTCTATAATCGGATGCCAACTCCATGTGAAATTGTTTGATTACCCGGACACAATCTTCTTTGGTACGAAACTCGTCACCCTCTTTTAGTTGCCCTTCTCTTGTGTAGTTAGGGTTGTAGAAAACATTCGTCGAGGGTTCATCGTCACCTAAGTCTAGAGTTGTCATGTGTTGAGGGGGGCAATAAACATTGTCGGGTGGAACCCCATCCTCATGGTTGTTCACCATCTCGTCAAGAGCAACTTCAGTTGCTTCTTCTTCTTCGTCAACGTAACATAACATATAACACGAAATCTGAGAAACCAAAATACTCGTGACTGCGGAACATGTTACGCACGCAAAAAACTTGAGAAGAATCAAGTTGATGAGATAATTTTTGTTGTTGTAACATAACATATAACACGAAATCCGAGAAACCAGAATACTCGTGACTGCGGAACATGTTACGCACGTCTTCATCGTCTCGCACCTTTAACGGGAAAAATTTGCATTCAACAAGACCCCCAAAAAAACACAGGGTTTTTGTATATTATTTTCCCTACTGGACCACATTGCAGTTTTTTTTTCTATTCTTGACTTCAGGTGTAAAAAATTAGACCTTCTATCAATTAAAAACCTTGTAACATCTGTGTTTCTGAAATTGTAACCCGATGTTTCACATTCGAAAACTTCACCGTTAAGATGTGCGGAAATCATATATTGTGGTGTTTGAGACATATCGAAAATTGTATTTGGATAGACGGTATTAAAGAGTTTAGTGTTTGAAAGTTTGACAGTTTTAGAGTTTAAAGAGTTTGAGAGTATGAGTTTAAAGACTTTGTTAAATAGGTTGAGTGTT